TCTGTACACTGAGATCTCTGTGTCTATTAGTCACAGTAATCGTGATTAAATAAGTTAATCTTCAAAAGATTTGGGGAATATATAGTGGGGCCTTGTCTTTTAATTTAGTGAAGACTAACTGTCGATTAGTGATTCTTAGAGTTATTTAAGGGCCCCGGTCACATGGTTATGGGAAACCGGATTAATTCTCTTCTTTTTTTTAGGTTAGCTATTTAATGATAAAACCAATTTTTCAACATTTTTTTAAGGCAAATATGCTAAAAGTCACTTTTAACTTCACTATCAATGAACACATAATTGTATTTTTTATTTTATTTTGTTTCGATAGAAGTCCCATCGCTTTTTTATTTTAGAAAAAAACACTCCGTATTTTACTAGGTGACAATAACAGCATATGCTCGTCGATAAATAGTGAAGTGTGCGTCCAAGGCATATTAAAGACTCAAGGTTCACCGTCAAAATTTAGGTGCATTTAATTCACTAAATTATACTTCATTTGTTCCCTAATAGCTGTCTTTTTTTTAAAATGTTTTTATTCCATATTATCTGTCACTTTGGATTTCCAATACTGCATTAAATGTATTTTTTTTTTCCTATTTTAACCTTATTAATTCAACTATAAATATTAACACTCTCTTATCACATCATTAAATAATTAAGGTTATTTTAGCCTTTCTATTATATTTTACCTAAAATCAAGATACATTTATTGAGCTTCTTAATACTTGTGCAAAGCAAAAAGCGACACTTAATAGGGAACGGAGGGAGTAGTAACTCAAAAAAGTAAGTGAACCGTTTCTTGAGTACTATATTGAAATATTAAATTTTTTTTGAGTAAATTCAAGTTCATTATAAGGGGAAGTAGGGGAGGGGGATTCGAACCCTAGACCGTTACCCTATTTGTAAAGACATACATTAATTAGATAGATTGACAGATTTGCATTTGACTAGATGATTTTATGAAAATTTTCAAATACACCATAATAACTAAAAAATTAGTTCAAATTTCAAAGTCAAATCATTTGAAATCTACCATAAGGGATTAATTCAATTAAGGTGAATCAATTTATTATTATGAATTTGAATTTTTTAAATATTTAAAATTATAAAAATCCATCCAAATGCAACAAATATAGAACGAACTAACCCAAATAAATATATTTATAAATAAAAAAAATCCAAATAAATATAATAAAAAATATTTTGATTTCAGAATTCAAGGGCATTTTCGGCAACATACTTTATTAGATCCCTTATTAACGGGACATTTGCAGGCAAAAAGTTCAAACACAGTGAGCATTTTCCACTCACCACCTTCTCTCACAAAATCATGGGGAAGTGCAACAAAATCCGTCACATTGTGAGAATCCGGCAAATGCTCCGATCATGGCGGAGGAAGGCCACAGCGCACCGACTTCCGTCGGACGTGCCGGCGGGACACGTGGCGATCTGCGTGGGGAGCAGTTCCCGGAGGTTCATCGTCCGCGCCGCTCACCTGAATCACCCCATTTTCCGGCGGCTGCTCAGCCACGCCGAGGAGGAGTACGGATTCGCCAATTACTCGGGGCCGCTGACGATTCCGTGCGACGAATCGCTCTTCGAAGAGATCCTCCGATTCGTGTCCCGAGTCGACTCGGTTAACTCGGACGCGCAGAGATGCTGCCACGGAGGCGGCGGCGTGAGGAGTGAGAACCCTGATTTTCACTACGAATCTCGGCCGTTGCTCTATGGGTTCACTGCCTGATGTGTTTTTACTTTTTTACCCTTATTTGCGGGGTTTTTTTTTTTATATTTTATTTTAATTTTTTAAATGTGTACTGTTTGCTATGGAGATGGTGAGAGTGTAATCGAGGCGAGCCATCCCTAGTTTATTTGGAACCAAAGGCGGGTTATTAGTAACGTCTTTTTGAGTTTTTGTGGATCTTGTCTCGTTCGACACTGGATAATTATTAATTTGTTCGATTGTTTAAATTAGCGTGACAAAGTTCATCTACTATTGTGCCTCGTCTATCTTTTAATCACTATTCAAAGTATAAATATATTTATAATCACTATGAAATATTGAATTTACCACATTTATGTCATGTTATCCGTCATTTTATTAAGTAAATCTAAACACATTGTTTAATAGTCCATCCATTATTTATTGAATAATACTAAAAACCAAACATTTGACAATATTTTTTATATAATTCAATTTTAGGCTATTTATAAGGCTAAATAAAGAAAATAAAATAAAAAGACTTCCAAGGCAAAAATCCATAACAAATCTGTGTTTTGGCCCATCAATCAATGCAAAATGAACCCACATTTAGTGGGCTTTATTGCCCATTTAATACATGTAAATTTTGTTTTTGTTGAGCCACGTTACATGAAAATATACAATTGGTGGAAGTGTGCCCAATTAAATGAAGACGAAAAAAAAAAAAAAAAGGAAAAATTCATTCATGTTACAAGTAGGGAAGTATGAGAGCCAAAGTAGAGTGAGAAGCGTCGCAACTCAAATGACTTACTATTGAGAAGAGAAAGAGCTTTTTATGTGAGTGATCAGTAAACACGTCCGAAATTAAGTCATTAAATCTGAACGTTCAAGATTAAGAAGGACTTATTCTGACCTGAGTTTGAGTATTGCATGATTCTTGAAGTCATATCGTCGATGAATAATTAAGTATGAACCATATCATAAAATTTATTTATCGGCCCAAAACGTAAGGGTCGTTGTCTTGTGCTCAAAACATAAAGTGACGTATAGTCAAGCTATAACAACTTGGATTAGTTAATTTAAACCGAATAATAATCATTTTATTTAATAATGGTGATGTCAATTATATATATCCCAAGCGACATTGAATTATTTTTTCAGTCAAAATCATCCAAATTATGGACAATTGATAAGATGGTTGGGCCAAGTGAATCGACCCAGCCAGCTGCATGAAAACATTATAGATGGCCCATTATTATATTTGAAAAGAAAAATAAATAAATAATATATTGCAATACGGGTTGACCCGATAAAGTTAGTGGTCATCAATCAAGCCCCACATTACGTACAACATTCGGGTATTTTTAAAGAAGGAAGCTTCCTCCCAATGATTTTCCATGTTTTATCCGTTTTTCCATTTTATGTTTTAAAATTAAATTTTTTTTGTAAATTACTGAAATACCCCCAAGTACTTTACGTAAACTTTAAGATAATGCATCATTATTTGTATTAATTAATTATCTCAACAAACGTATAGAAATTCGAATTTAATCTTAAAAAAAGGCCAAGCTGAAGGCATATATATTACATATATGCACTGACAAATTAAAAGAATATATATAAATAATAGATATTTTATTATCTGATTGGCATGCAGAGGAGGTAGCAGTATATCCAATGCAGAAATTAATGTAGGGGAAGATATCAAACATATTGTGGGCTAAATAGTTAACCAATTGAAGGGGCAAATTAATTTACGCAAGATAGTTGTATGTATATTATATATATAATGTGTGTCAGAAGGAACTTTTGTGGCTGAAACAAAAAGTGGAAAATTAAATTAAATTAATTATTAATACATTCATATAGGTAAAGGACCAGCAATCTGCTGTAAACTCACTATACTGGTCCCTATTGAATATTAATTTTGATGCATCTATCAAAGATTTTTCATTTTTTTCACACAGTACACACAGTAAAGGGTTAGATTTTTTTTTCTTTTTTCTTGTCTTGTTTCTGATTATGCAATTTATTTATTTATAATTTTTGCGTTTGGAAAATATAATTGATGGATTTTTTTTGTTTTCTATATAAAGTTAAACACAAGCGTACTTCACCGAATATAAATCTCGGACATACACTTGTATTGATAACTACATGTTTTACACGTATTCGCCTGCAGGATGTATATGTAATTATGTGTATATCTACGATGAAATAGTATAATATATATTCGGTGCCGTGAAGTATAATTTGGAATTAAAATATTAGCATTTATAGCTATACCCTTTTAGTTGGTGAAAATAAATTGAAGAGGGAATGGAGAGGTAGTAGCTATATATTTATACAATTATTCCATGCAAATTGGATTTTTTCTTTCCTTATATTTTTTTTCAGTACAAGAAAGGATAAAGAGTATATGGGACAAGTAGGGTTTATGAGTTATCATTTTCCGGTGGACCCATATTCATATCTAGGCTTATATATAATAAATAAATAAATAAATAAATGTATAACTCCATAATAATATTAATAATAATATAATCTTATATATAAAAGAAAGAAACGCTGGGCAACCCTAAAAAACCCTAATGACATTTTTGTAATTATTTATTTATAATATATTTTTTTACTAATTTTCTAACTATATTTTTAACAATTATCAAAATTCATATTTGTTATTAATATATCTCAAATCTTAAGAAATAAAGATAGAAATTCAGAGCCCGTTTGGCTAAGCTTATAAGCTCCTAAAAACATCTTATAAGATGTTTAGGAGCTTATAAGTTGTTAAAAGGTGTTTGGTAAAAAAACTGCAAAAGATCTTATTTTTTCAAAAAATAAGCTGTTAGGGAGCTTATAAGATGTTTTTAAAAAAGTACCCCTACCCCACCTTTTTTCTTTAAGATCTTATTTGCTTATTTACTAAAACACTTAAAATACAAAATTACCCTCAAATATTTTATTATATTACATGAATACTAATAATATTTATATTTTATCAAAACAACGTATTCTTGTAATCAAGATTAATAATTAGTTAAATATAATTATCGTAATTATCATAATAATTGTAAAAAAAATATTCTCTATTTATATTTTATATGTATATAAAAATACACGAATATTCTTATTATCTCCATAATAAATTATATTTCTTTCATCTAAAAAAAAATTATATTTCTTTTACAACTTTTATTTTATATTATTATATAATTTAATATTATTATTATTATTATTTGAAAAAATAATTTATAAATATTATAATAATATTTTAGGAACAAAAGTATTTGAGTCAAATAAGTTTAACAATTATACTGACATCATGTACTTTTTTGTCATTATAGCAATAAACAGACATTTTATTTCCAAACACCTGAACAACTTATAAAAACAAAAAGTAACTTATAAGCTAATATCCAAACACCTTAAAAAATAATTTTTAAAATAAGATCTAACAGCTTATCAGCTCCTAAAACATCTTATCAGATGTAGGAGCTTATAAGATGTTTTAAATAAGCTTAGCCAAACGGGCTCTCAATTTGTTAAATTGATCATTTTTTTCACTTTTAAAATATGACCCCGTATATATAAAAGAAATAAACCTTGGGCAACCCTAAAAAATCCTAATGACATTTTTCTAATTATTTATTGTTAATATTTTTTTACTAATTTTCTAACTATATTTTTAACAATTATCAAAATTCCTATTTTTCTTTAATATATCTCAAATCTTAAGAAATAAAGATAGAAACTCAATTTTTTAACTTGATCATTTTTTTTCACTTTTAAAATACGATCCCGTGCATCGCACGGGAAAAAAATGCTAGTATAATATAACATGTATATCCGACAACTCATCATTCAATTAAGTAGTTCACAAATGTTACATGTTGTACATGTATGTAGTATGTATACTTTGTTGTATGCCATCATACATGTACTTCAATCTATCTATTAATATATTTATAATTATGCTTTTCTCATACAATCTAGATAAAAATCCAAATCCTTAATCAAAGCTTCAATTCAATTTGTTTTGGGGCGTACGGATTGGTCAATTTTATGTTTTTTTATTCAAAAAATTACAAAAGACGAGGTTGTGTAATTAAAAAGAATAACCACTTGTTCGAAATGTCGTACATGTAGTTAGAGTACTGAATTAAGATAAGCATGAATCAAGATACAATAGCTTGTTGGTAAATACTTTGCATCTCAGATCTATTTGATCACGGATTCGAGGCACAAAAGGGGAATTAGGGAATCAGTAATTATTTCCCCCAATCGAGTGTAAAACAATGTAAAGAATATGAAAAATGTGATTATTAAAAGAACATTAAAAACTTGGTTAAATAAATTCTCTCAATAGGGTGTAAGCATTAAGCAACAACTCTATGAGGAAAATTACATACAAATTACAAACCACCTTTGTTTACAAATCAACCCACAAATTAAAATATTTATTACATGGGCCGTAGGTTATACATATATATAATAATTAGATACCTAGTAGCTATGTCACTTACAAACACACCCACAAAATGGGCTCAAAACATAGCTAAAAAAAAAAACACCACTAATTCAAAGACAGATGTTTAAAAAAAGACAAAAAAGCCCACACAAAAAAATTGCATGCCTGCTAATTTCATCTTGACACCATCTCTCTCCAATTTAAATTTTTTTCTCTCTCTTGTTTCTCACTCATCGGAGCATGGAAGTAAGTGATCGGAAAACAACTTCTTCACAGGGAAGAGTGAGACCCATTTCATGGTCAAACCCGAACTCCTCTTCGGCTCGTCGGAGCAGGCACTGAAATTCCGGGTGGGTCAAAAAGGAAATGGGCACAATATATCTGCTTCGGTTTTGACCCACGTATACGGCGAAGTGTCCTTTCGGCACGTCTTCCGGCAGACTGCACTCATCATCGTACCCATTTTTCTTGCCCAGACTCGAACACCTTTTCAAGATTTGCTTCAGTAATACTGCTTGCGGCAGCCTGTTTGATTTACTCTTCATACCCATCTTTTTTATTTATTTAATAATAATAATAATAATGGGTTTTTTTTCTTTTTTTTTTTTTAAATAAATAATGGGTTGAAGAAAATTTGAAAGGAGAAGTGGAGGTGGCGGTGAAGGTGGAGGGATGAATGAAGGTATTTATCAAGAAAGGTGGGGGGTGGGGGTGGGGGTGGGGGTAGGGGGTGGGGGGTGGGCTATCTGAAAGTATGAAAGGACAATGTGGGGGCCAAATCCAGTTGGTGTATTATTTTATGTTGGACTTCCTAATGGCAATATGGGGCCTAATTATATTGCCATAAAAACAAAAATAAATCTTTCTTGGATTAATTAATTAGTTATATATCTTTGTAGAAAAAAATAAAAACTAAAAAAATATTGTTGATTTTTTCTGTTCGTCTTGAAACGTGAAAGAGTCGTATGTGTTGGATAATTTTATTTAATTTAATTAGTAATCAGATGTTGGCATGTTGCCATAGTTTTATATGGATTTGACCAAGAACCATTGTGGTTCGGTAAATGTTAAGTCATGTGCATTCGATCAATAACATTGACTAATATTTCTTTAAAATATTGTAGATGTGGATAATCAGACGATAACTGTTAAATCGAGAACGCATTAGGTTGTTGTCGATACACGATTACCTGTTGGTTATGAGTTCGAGACACTAGGACAGAGAATTGTCAAACCAGTAATTATCCTTCTTTTTATAATAATAAAAATTCAAAAATTAGGTTGCTATGTATTTTTTATGATAAATTTGGTTGAATTAAGAGAGTTTAGAATTAATCTAGTGTGTGTGTGTGTGTGTGTGTGTGTGTGAAACTACACACATAAGGTTAGGTGGTAGTGTTGAATGGTGGTGTACGGTGGCCTCATACTTTGCTTTCACAGTTTGGAGTCTGTTTCAGGTTTCAACATCATTTTTTTCTCGCTACTTATTTCCATTTCCAACATTATGTCTCACTCATTAAAGCTTTTGTATTTTTCAAACCCTCATCTTTTCCTTTTTTATCTTCTAAATTCTTACCATTTTACTATTATCTTATATTTTTTCGTCCAAATTATTTTTATTTCCGTAAAATATATAATTTAGAAACAAACTTTCGATTACAATAGTAAGTTTTACTTGATAAATTACGAAGAATTCTGTAAAGATAATGTTAGCCTGGATTTGGCGAGGCCTGGGTATTGACGATCCACAATCGAAATGTTGTGGACGTATGTGTATGCTGAATGCACTATAAAGATAGAGTGTATGCATTTAATACGGGTAACATTTTTAGAACTTTATATTTATTCAAATTAAAAAAATATTTTCATTTAGGTATGAGAAGTGAGTGAATATATATTATATAAATATTAAAAAAAAACACAGAGAACACACAGTATGGGTGGGGGAAGAAAGACTTCTCAAGACTGTACTAGATAGTGGTACGAAAGAAACCCTTTAACTTTAGAAGAATTTTTGGTATTTATCGATTGTTGGTACTTGTGATTCTCACTGAATTATTGTCAGCAAAAGACACAATAACTTTGCTTCAGTAAATCCATGTGTAGATACTTTCCAGGTTTGACCCTTTTTTTCTCTACAATTAAACAAACTACTCTTAATTCTGCATTTTACTTAAATTGTAATTAATTTCTTAATTAATAATACTCGTAGTTGTTAGCTGTTACTCTCTCTCCCATTTCAGTTTCAAATTAAGTGCTGCTAAAATTTCAACACATATTAAAATTAAGTAATAAATATTCCATTAAAAAAAATTAAATGAATTTGAAATAGAAAAAGAAAAACTGACTTTGTTTCAAGAAACTGAATGAGGTGTAAAAAATCCACGTAATCATGAAAATTTGACACAGAGAAATTAACATATTATGCCCACCTGTTAAAAAATAGTGATACCCGTGACCAATATGTAGTATTATTTAATCACAAATAACCCTATTAAAAATTGTCCCCTAAAGCATGTATAGGGGCCTGAGCGTGCTAGGTCACCGTTATTCAATATTTTTAGTTTAGAATATTATATTTATTTGGTTAAATAGCACTTAACCCCACAATGGTTTGAACTTTGTCCATATGACCCCTTTTACTTTTAATATACGCATATTACCCCCTATGGTATTCCACTTGGTAAGTAATCATTCTTATTAGGAAGAGGAATATTTTGTACAAGGGGGTTATGTACTTATATTAAAATACAAGGGGGTCGTGTGCTATATTGAAAATAAAAGGGGTTCATGTGCTTAAAATTCAAACCATAGAGGAGCTAAGTGCTATTTACCCTATTTATTTTACTAATTTCAGTTTCTTTTGCTTTTTATAATCTCGAATCAGGTCCGAAGATTTATAAAATTGACAAAAATACCCCAAAGGCGAAAAGATATCACAGCCACAACCGCAAGTTGCATGGTGAAGAGGTGGTCCGTATAAATATTGAAAGAGCCAACAACAAAAGTGGAATAATATTGATTAGAGAGAAGATGAAGCCCCATTTCGAACGAGAACCACTCACAAATCCATCAATTTGTGCCCGCCTGCCTGCATGTTCCAAGGCTTAGAATGCCGATCCACAAAATTTATCAAAATAATAAATATTAACAAAAAACCGGAAATTTAATCTACCCAGTGCACATATATTAAATATTTACATTATCTCCAACTCCCGTTTTCTCTTTTTCTTTCACTTTCATGTACCGTCGAGTCCTTGACAGTACAGCTTTCGTATTCCCACCATATTAAATGTAAATATTTTTTTTTTCGAAATTTGTAAGCTGACAATGCAATTTTCAGAATGAAATAAGAAATTAAAAAAAAAAAAAAAAAAAAAAAAACCCTTTCCGAATGGTCCTAGTCAAAATAGTGACGATTAAAACAAACTTCTCTCCAACTAATTCGAACCCATAAATTGAATACACTCACCCAAAAATTGTGTGTACAAAAGAATGACATGTAGATGAGAGAGTTGTCTGAAAATAGAATATCTCGGGACTTGATTGATAACATACCATCCATCCCATGTTCTGAGACTAAGAATGTATTAGAAAATAAAAATAAATATATATAAATGGCAATAGAAAGAAAATAGGTGGTCCTTTTAAATTAAATTTAAATTTAAATTTAAATATTTTGTTATCATCAGAATTGCGGTGCTGTGCATCAGAAACTGATACATCAACCGAATTTTGCCCCTTTTTCCAGTGATGCTGACCCAGCACTCCGTATTGCACATGAAGCCCATGTTACTCTTGCCCTAAAATTGTTTTGCTGGATATACATTATAAACAAAACCCCCTTTGAGATCACCTCACAACTACTTTGAAACTGTCACCTTAACTCCCACCTCAAATCCCTCTAAAATTAACCCGAATTCAACGTGTTTGACACACGCTCGTTGCAGAAAACCCAGAAAAAGAAAAAAATGATCTTTTTTTTTTTGTGATCTTCAAGGTTAAAAGTATAACTATATCGCAGAAAAAAAAACATGTTTCTTGAAAATTTTGGATGGTGTGAAATGGGTCGTTTTTAGGAGGTGGGATTATTGAGGACAGTTGGGGCCAAACAACAGCTAAGCAAGATTTCGTATGTAAGAAGAGCTAGGGTATAAAAGGCCTAGATCTCGAGTTAATATAGGTAAAAAAAAAAAAAGACATATCACAGCATCTTAGAAACATAAGAATGTGCCAGGGTTTATGTCAAGGACCCACACAAATTATATGAAGGAAGAAAAAAACAGATTTTTCATGTTTAAGGATAGTGATTTTCGTACCTGATGTGCTGCGACGCGAGAGATCGGCTAGCGATGAAACGAGTAAAAGAGTGAAAATGGATTTATTACCATTTTACTTCAGTCGCGATCCATAAGAACTTTACCTCAGAACTAAGTATAAGCTACAATTCGAAATTCAGACAGTCATATCACCATCATAATCTGAAGATATGGTATACTAAGTACAGGTAAATAAAGTATACAATATTAGTCATGTAAGCAGAAATTAAATATTCTAGCAAGTACCTTAGACGGCTGTACAAATTAATATTGTGTCCTTCACATAAGTTAGTCAAATCGTAAGCTAATCATGTATTCAATTACTTATAGTCAATTCCAGTAAGTTTCGATATGTACAGCTAATGTTCCATAAATAATAAGTCCCCTCGGTCGGTACAATAATCAGTACATTGGTCCAACATATATTAAATCCTCCAAGTAAGGAAACTCTAGGTAGGTTAAGTTCTTATACAGTACCTATAACATAAAAGGAAAGAATAGTATCACAGGTAGTTTCTCCGAACACTCTTCTACGTGAAACAATACCATCCACAAGAAGGAATTACTTCCACACTTAACTTCTGCCAACAAAAATAGATATTGCTGATGTTAGAAAAGAATCGAGTAGTGTAATATAGAAGTATTTCTACTTCATCGTAAAAGCATAATCAAGCAGTGTAATACGATTAACAGCACCACAGACGCTTCGAACTATATGTACAGTCTTATAAATGAGGTGAAGAAACTTAATAACATTCTTCTTTTCGATTTCTTGATATAGGTAATTGTTACTTTTTTATCTGACAGAAATTGCAGCAAAGAGCTGAAAATGGAGCGAGTACAAAATTTTCCACTGTCGAGTAAATTCACTAAACAAGATATGCTAATTTTTAATCAACAATGAAAAAAAAATAGTTGACTTTTTTAATCTGTCGGTAATGGTAAGAACAGATTTGTAAACGAACATTTACATGTCAGACGGTGCTTTCAGCTGTTGGTGCTGTCCATCAACCAAAGTCAACTGCCTCCTAAGTCTTGCAATGTGAGCTTGTACCTATGCATGTGTAGACGTTGTCAATACACAAGTTCTTTTTAATCGGAGAAAATGAAAGAATTCACTATACACAAAACACGTGATGTTCGAAATTAAAATTTTCACATAATTTTGACAAATCAAATTCCATCGATGGTCGGGTGAATTCTTCAGAGTTCTTGTACTTGTGTTACTTGAATCAAATAGTAATTAAGTGAAATTAATATATGTATGCTTCGAACCACCGAAAACAAACTCAACAAGTGAAAGCCCCATAATTCTGTATATCATAATAAAACATATCTTGCACAAATAACTCCTAAATATAGTGATCCATCGGTTGCATGAATTTAAGGCTGTTCAAATGCACTTCCTTAAATGGGATACTACACTTGGAAGTTCATTTGCCCGTTTTTTAACACAAGTCAGTAAGATGTCCATTTTGGAGAAATCAGTATTTGCGATAATTCAAATGGCCTAACGCTTTTCCCACTTTATTTGTGTTTAATTTCTTCACAATATGGTTATTTTGACTACATAGCTATTTTTGGATTTTAAGTGAGAATAGGTTGATGGTTATCCAGTTAACAAATCTTCGAATATATTGAAAAGCGCATTGATAATGACCTGCTGCCGAGCTGCAGCGAGTTTCAATAACTCATCCGCCTCCGAGAAATTTGTAAACCACTGGTTCAGGGGATTATCTTTCGTATCAACTCTGTTCTTGCTGTCAACATCTTCCAAGGGCACTGTAATAACACACAAAGATTAAAAATCGTGAAATACAAAGTGGCAAATCATTTATTTACCAACTAACAATACTAACAAAACAGCACGGACCAGGAGGCAAAGTAAAATCCGCAGGCAGCCTAGGCACAATAACTGCAGGATGATTTTGCACCCGAGCAAATAGAGCCTCGGAAGGTTCCGAGACAACAATTTCATCATAAGATTCTATTACGACAGGCTTCTTAGTCGAGAGCGGACCGGACTCTTCCTCGGGGTACAACTTCAAATGGTGATACCTACATAAACATTATACTTACAAATAATTAACAATTTAACCTCACATGGAAATTCAAAAGAGAGTATGACGAAGATCACTATCGAGAAAATTATCAAAATCCATAAACACAGATACGCAAACAAAACTCTACACACGATTCACAATGAGACAAACTCACAAGTGCAATGGCTTCTCCCCAACATCACTGTGAAAATGAAGGGTGATCGCGATTTCGAATTCACCCCATCCACACTCCGATAGCTCAAAAGGTGGCTTCTCAATAACCCTTGTGGGGTTATTAAAACTCGAATGCAATTGGAAAACGGCACGCTTCACAACCACTCCCAGGTCCTCGTTTGTTGCTCCCCGAACATAAACCGTCCACCTGTGTGATTGATACCTGACCAGTACAGAGCAGAATTACAAAAAAATCAAAAACCAGGTTTCGTCAAACACTTGATGCACTTATTAAAATACACTTTTTGATAAATAAACAGGAAAAGGAAAACACATATACTTACTCGCTCGCCTTCTTACCAAGCCAAAATGCAATGTTACCATACACAATGGGGATACAAATTTCTGAATCTTTAAGCTTCTTAGCCAAACTCTACATCATCAGAAGAATACGGAATTACGGATTTTTTTTTATTTCTAGTAATTACAAATGAATTCACATTATATATTCAAAGAAAGGGGAAACGTAAATCACCTTTTTTTCGTTGTCGTCCGAGGATTTTGTGATTTTTGTGCGCTGAGATTTCTGCGTCGAGCCGCTGATTTCTGGCTGCTCAGCTCCGCTTTTGTTAGGCATTCTGCAATTGAACTGAACGTAATCACAAAATTAATCGAGATGAAATTAGGGTTTCCAATTGGATTATTTACGAATGTGCGATGAACTACTGAGAGAGTGAGGGCTTTGCTAGCTGGAGTAGGGATCGCATGCGGGAAGGTGTATCTTTAGACGTCTATTGATTGGACGAAACAAATATTGACCTCAGACTTTTTGGTCAACACGTACATAGATAGATTGATTGTAGAAGCCCTAATAAACTCGCATTGCAGACGACTGCGCTCTCAATTTTTAGTGTTTATTGCATTTAGAACCCTTTATTATACTAAATTTCTAAACAACTTTTCATATTATACATATTAGCAAAACAATCACTATGATGCATTTTTTTTACCACACAACCCCCTAAATAGTGCATTTTATGGGGTATTTCACTAGTAAAATTCAACTATAGGGACTTTTTTTATAATTACAATAAATATATGGGTGTTAAATACAATAACTTCAAATGCATTATATAGTATAATAAGTGAATAGAAAAAATGGAATTTTCAAATTCCACCAATTTCGACCTGAAAATTATCGATTTTAGAACAAGTTTTTTCATTCCAATTTCGAAAATCTCGGTTTCAAAAAATTTCGATTGTTTTTGGAGCTAAAATGTAATTATTTTGCATTTATTTATTTTTTTTACATTGCCGATTTCGACACCTAATTCTAACAATAATTTCATCATGAACTTTAATTTATGGACTTTTCTTTAAATCCACCCTCTCTCTATACATATGTAAAAACAATGAATAAATTCTGTATTTCACAATTCAAATTTCTTGTAAATATATATCTAAAAGATAATCAAATCTTCGTCAAAAAGGCCATTCAAATTAACAAATAGTCATGAAATTGAACTGTTTTGTCCATTAAACTATCTTCTAACTAGTATACAAAATTGTGCTACTCTGTAAACTCAGTATACATATATATATGTATATGATCTTCATCTCAAACGAGATGTTATATCGACGAACAAATCTTGGCTACAAGGAATAGTTAGACCGCCCATCGGATGGTGGAATCCGAATTCTTCTTCAACTCGACAAAGCAATTCTTGAAACAAAGGATGGTTCAAATACGACAACGGGATAACAAAACGCTTCTTTTCATTCTCCCCAACATAGACAGCTAAATGCCCCTTTGGAACGTCGTTCGATCTCTTCTCCGTTGAAAACGACCGTCTAAGATTTTTACCAACCGCCATTGCTGTGTTTAAAGTAAATCTTGATGAAACAGTCAGAGAAAATAGAAACGAATTTTTGTGGAGGCAAATGAGAGCTGAGAAATTAAGCCGATAATTTTTTCTTAGGACTTGTGGCTGGTTATATATGTGTATACATACATAGTATAGAGGGACATGTAATTAATGTGGTATTGGAAAAAAAATCGAGATTGAATGGCGGAGAGGCTTTGGCGGAATATGAATGGTGGTTAGAGAAGTTTAAGACATTAGCACATGAGGAATCACATGGATTTACCTTTCGAGTGGCGGTACATGCATATTCGAGACAAATTAAAGAAAATGTAGCAATTTGTACTATATATATTTGTCGAAGACTGTTTGATTTTGGTAAGGGCCTATGTAATTAATTAGATAAGACAATCTGATACCTAACTTACAGCTAAAGATGGACACATCTGCCTCAATTCTTTTGAGTTTTCTGTTTTTTCCATCTGCAAAATTGACGATATTGTACAAACGTGATTGGTTTGAAATGTAGACGAAGCCGATACTCGTAATGAGTGGACTAGTGTTTTTTATATTTTTTTATTTGGATAAAATCGCACATTTTTTTGTCTAACATATGTTTAGAGTTAATCGAACTGAAATGTAAACATTACTGATTTTTTTCGTGCATGTGTAAGGAAAATTATACATATATAGTTTCATGGAGGAAAATTAATCGGAAAACGGTAAGTTTAACGCTAAGAGAAATGATTAAACAAGACCTGTTTGAAGTTACTTATAAGGTTTCTTGAATTTTGGTTCCTATGTTAGTACAACATTGCAAGTTGAATAACTAATATCCCGACGAGCATTTTTCTCGACGATATTCGTAATTCAAACCAGTGTCCGGAACGATAGCGCGTTTAGAAATGATATCGGAACAACAGATGTTCTCTTGTCATATTCTCGCAACATATTTTTTTTTTCTATCAGTGACTAACATCATGATAAAGATCTTACAATACGAACGTGTAAATCGGTAATAAAGGCATTAATATATCGAAATGACTCGGAGTATATAAAATCTTGTATCGGTATAAACATTAATTTGTCCAAGAATACATTTTTGTACCTGACAAAGTATCTTCTGTGTGTACAAAAAAAATATATTAAAAAAAATTCTATTGCCCTAAGACCTAATATACAGCTCATGCTCTGGTCAAGCGAGAGGTGAGTTCGACGAACAACTCTTCACTGCAAGGAATAGTGAGTCCACTCGCCGGATGATGAAATCCGAATTCTTCTTCGGCTTGGCATAGTAGTTCTTGAAACGAAGGGTTGTTCAAATACGATAACGGAATTACGAATCGCTTCTTTTCACTTTCTCCGACATAAACAACGAAATGACCCTTTGGAACTTCGTTCGATCTTCTTTCGTTGGATAGAGATCGTCTCAACATTTGACGGATAGCCATTTTTGTATAAACTGAATATTTGTCGAAGGAATAAAAGCTGAGAGATGTAGATTGTTTTGAAGTGTTGTTGCTGGTTATAATCGAGACATGGTCTTGTCTACATAGGCTATACAGAAATGATGTGTACTCGAGAAATTCTAGATAAGTGCGGTGACCATACGAAACTTGGAAAACATAGGCAAATGCAGTCACATGCATTTGTCTTTCGAAAATCGAAGTTATTCCGAGCCAACAAGAATTTGTGTGATTGAAAATGTCGTGTCCCGCCAACTGTGGCAACATGGCCCTCGAATGATGACCACACAACATACAAATTTAATTAATTTGACAACATAATCTGTGCTTATGTTATGCAATGTAAATTATATGCCACATTTAATTAATTCGGAGGGTCCTACGAATACTGCCCGAAACCCCACAGTTTGACGAATCATTCATTATGTTTGCTCTGCATCGACAAAGTCATGTGATTCATCATGTGCTTTTGTTTCTTCGAGTTTTCCGTAAAAACCACATATCCTTTGGCCTATTCGTCACCACTCGATCCAGCTAGATTTACAAGGATACATACAACATTTACATGTACTTCATCTATATATACATATGAGAGACGGCACATTTCTCAACCTACAACCAACTTTCAATACTCAACTTCTCGTATAACTCTCCATATTCCTTCATCTTTCATCATCAACTTCACAAAGATTTTTACTTGAACGAAAATCGATGGCAATTCACAAAATTCTTAGACGGTCTTTATCAGCTGAAAAGAGGTCGAACGAAGTTCCAAAGGGGCATTTAGCTGTTTACGTCGGGCAAAACGAGAAGAAGCGCTTTGTAATTCCATTATCGTATTTGAACCACCCTTCGTTTCAAGAACTGCTATTCCAGGCCGAACAAGAGTTTGGATTTCATCATCCAATGGGAGGCCTAACTATTCCTTGTAGTGAGGATTTGTTCGTCGATCTAACTTCTCGTTTGAGCTGAACATGATATATATGCATACACATCGTAGCAAATAGAATTGTATTAGCTAGTTCCTGGACATTTTTTTGTATATAGAGAAGATACTTTGTCGGGTACAAACTGTATTCCTGGACAAATTAATGAATTATTATATCTATAAAAGATTTTTTCTTATACTTGAATTCCCCTGCTATTTACAAGTTCTTTATCATGATTACATCAAAGTATAAATGTATGATTAGAGAAGAAACTAACACTGTGAAGAGAAATGCTTCTGCTGAAAATTAAGTACCAAGTGCTGATTGAGGAGAATATAGGCTCAGAAAATTATCCCACATCGGAAAATAACTAACCAATACTTTATAGCAAGATATATAAATAGAAAGGCAGAAACAATGTTTAAAAGCACGCAGCTGTGCAGTAAGTACAAAGCGAACTATTCTTTCGCCTTTTACTAAAGAATACCGTGTGCTTGCTGCACTTCAAGCAGCATACGCCTCTTTTTGGAGGGTTATTTTCCTTTCGGAAATTGCCCCAACAATTTCAGTCTAAGATTGTTTATTTTTATTTTGTTTAAAGTCGATAATTGATATATAAAAATTATTTATAAAAATTATTTGGAAATAAAAAGGGTAAGATATTGATTTAAACACTACTTTTAAGTTCAGGTAATTCATGCAGTGAGGAAACACAATTATGAACAGCTGCAGTGGGGAAGCACAATTATGAACAGTTGTTGGAGCTCAAAATAATTCATGTATACACTAATTTTGTGGTTGTATACATCTCTTTCCCGCATAAAACTATCATGTATGTGTGTATAAAGGATATGAATCAAGAATAAGAATCTTTCTTATAGAAACACTAATCTTTACAAAACTGTGATATTCCTAAACATATCTATTCGTGTATACAATCAATCATGTTCTGCTCAAACGAGATGTAAGATCAACGAATACATCTTCGCTACAAGGAATGGTTAATCCTCCCGTTGGATGATGGAATCCAAATTCTTCTTCGGCATGAGATAGCAATTCTTGAAATGAAGGGTGGTTCAAATACGACAACGGAATAACAAAACGCTTCTTTTCATTTTGCCCGACATAAACAGCTAAATGCCCCTTTGGGACTTCAACCGATCTTCTTTCGCTCGATAAAGATCGTCTCAAAATTTGGCGGATTGCCATCTTTGTGTCAACTGAATCTTGCTTAGAGGTGAGGTGAAGGAAAAAAACCCTTTCAAGAAGTATTTTGAAGATCTGTTGTTGGTTGTAATCAAGGAATGGTGTTATGTATATATAGGTGAACTATGAATTGTATATACTTGAGAAAATCTAGATGAGAGTACTGGTCAAAGTAGAAAACGGATATGTGGTGCTCCACGAAAGTCGAAAAAACCATACGCATATGGAATCACATGCATTTGTCTTTCAAAAATCATAATGAATTCAAACCAACAAGAATTTGTGTGATCGAAAATGTTGTATCCTACTAACTATAACAACAAGCCCCTTAAACGACCCTACAATATATTGTAATTAATGTGACAATACATCAAACTCTCTCATGCTATATGAAGACCCTTACAGGCAATTTGACATGTGAACTTCCATTTGCTGGTGTAGTTGGCCCCTTTTTACGGCCCCTAATTGAATTGTCTATTAACCGAAAATTCAATAAGTGGAGGCCGTTCATCTATCTAGCAGCAGACACGAAAACACAGCTATCTACTAAGCCTTGAATAAGTTATCGACTGATCTGATTATTAGAGGATGAGTCCCACATCAAAGTTAGTTACTCGATTTATTGCAGTATGGTCGTCTGAGGGCCATCGTTGCCACAGTTAGTAGGATACAATTTTTTCCGATCACACAAATTATTGTTGCCTAAAAGTCTTTACGATGATTCAAAGACATAACAATGTAATTCTATTTGCGTATGTTTATCAAGGATAATAACAACTACTGCTTGCCTATATATACAAAACACCGTTTCTTGATTTACAACCATCAACAAGTTCTCAAAATATTATAGTTTTCTCATCTTTCACAATACTTCAAAGAATATTATCGGATTTCAACTACAAAAGTTCAGTTTATACAACAATGGCCATCCGACTGAAGTTCCAAGACTGAAGTTCCAAAAGGGCATTTGGCTGTTTACGTTGGAGAAAGTGAAAAGAAGCGTTTCGTAATTCCATTATCATATTTGAACAATCCTTCGTTTCAAGAACTACTATGCCAAGCTGAAGAAGAATTCGGATTCCATCATCCAATGGGTGGACTCACAATTCTTCGTTTCAAGAACTACTATGCCAAGCTGAAGAAGAATTCGGATTCCATCATCCAATGGGTGGACTCACAATTCCATGCAGTGAGGAATTATTCATTGATATCACCTCTCACTTGAGCAGATCTTGATATATACATACACAAACTAGCTCTTAGAGCAATAGAAATTTTGTTAGCTAGTTCGTGAACGATTTTATTTAATTTTCATTCTTTGTACACAGTGAAGATACTTGTCGGGTACAAAATGTAATTCCCGGACAAATTAACGGTATTACCAAGAAACTCGTATATCTCTGAGAAACCTTGTGTATATCTCAACTTATTATTTAATGTTCGTTTTTGGCGGAAAATTATGTTCTGCGTTTTATGCGTTTTATGGCAGTGTGTTAAATCACATATTATGCTATTCATGCAGTGAGGACACATAACTATGAACAGAAGATCGATTTGAAATGCTGAGTTCGTATAAAATTAGTATATTTGCATACTCGAACCAAATAATGTTTTGGCATCTTTAAATAGCTGGAAAAAAACTCATGTAAACTGTAATTTTGTTCTTGGAGAAAAAAACTAATTTACAAAAGGTAAAAGTTGCTTTGTTGTACTCGTTCGCCCAAGTGAACGTTGTCTAGAGCATCACCTTGCTCCACTGAATCCGGGTAAGATTTAGATGCCCACAGCACCACTACATCCTCTGTTCCACAACGATTTAGTTAGAACGTAATTCCACAAAAAAAAAAAAAAAAAAACGCGTACGGAACAAAGTACTTACCGGAGTGACCATGTGGCGTTAAGTAGTTGTAATTCAAAGTAAATATCTTTGTGACATTGTGAAAATCGGGATGTTCTGCAAAAACATTCCATTGCCTGTTCTTGGTCACTCTATTCAAGTCTCTGAGTGAAACGACTAAATCCCATTTCTCTTGGTCGTTGAGCTTTACGTGCCAGAGTACTCGAGCAGGGCACATACGGCTTCTACACTCGACGAGAGGTGTTGAACTGTCATTACCCGTAATTGAAACAATCGAACGTATAACTGGAGAATCCAACCTGGTAATAAATATCACAAGGTCCAATTAGTTATCTTCCAATTACCCATGACAATAAAAAAAAAAAAAAAAAAATTGCGGGTCGAGCAGAAAAATTATGAAGTTAAGCTACTATTTAGTTAATCTTGACTAATCTCCCTAACCAAACATGGATATCATATATCTAAAAGTCCCCGATAATTGAGGAAAACATGTAAAACTAGATAAAATTAATTTTGCAAGTCAACAATAAAAAAATATTGAGTTAACCAAATATCAAATGAAACGCTACTATTTAGTTAATCTTGACTAATATATATAAAAGCCCTAAATAATAGAGAAAACATGCAAAACTAGATAAAAGTAACACTTACTCCACACAGCTACCCGGTCGAGCGTTGTTTGTACAACCACAAGAACAAGTAACATGACGTACGTCGGGGGACGAGATTCTAGCACAAAAGGTGGATATCCTGTGAGCCACGAATATAGACCTTGTGCATACAACTCTCCATGTTTCTTGGATAAGAAAAAACCCCAAGTCAATAACACTTTTTAAATCTATATTTCATAAAATTAAACTAATTAAATCTAGCTGAATAATATTATAGCTTACTAATAGCGCGAGTAACGTGCTTCCCATCTGGAGTCGTAATTCTGGCAAGCCTTACAACTGTAGCGGGCCCACAATTATAAACAACGCCCGGTGTTTTCAGAGTGTGTGTGGACGGTACCCTAACGTTTTCGCGGCTTGTCCCCGCACGGCCAACATTTATTTGGAGTGAAGCGGCGACGACTTCATTATTCGGCCGCGAAATATTCGAAACTCCGAATTTATTTGAAACTGTGGGATTCTTTACACAGCTCTGAGGAATATTCTTTTCGAAACTCGAACAGTTCCCTTGTTCTCTAGTTTGACCTCCCACCATGCTCGTAATTACCTCGTCTCTTTTCCACCTCCAACCGAATTCCCATCCGGTTGGATCGATTTTTTGATGATTTTGAAAGTTATATATCGTAACATTTGCCTGATGCATCATTCAAATATAAAAAAAAAAAAAAAAAAAACGAGCTAACGGTAACTAATATTTTATTAAGCTTGGGAGTTATATTTATTGTACTTACAATATATCCATCTGTGGTCCAGTTTGTAACATCCCATTCGATAGTTACGTTTCCCATCGGACCAAACGAAGCAAAGCATGCATCTGAAAAAACATCAAACCAAGACTTTATGACCAGAAGAAATTACAAAAAGGGCATATATGTTTTAATCTACGACTTCATTAATAATATCGGAATCTTGTTTATGGCACGAATTAATATTGTTTCTTAGTTCTGAATTAAGATGCACAACTATCGCGATAAAAATCGGAAAAAAGCGCAGTCGGTCGTCCACAATTTCATAGCGGCGATTTCTTTATCAGCATGCATGAAATTCATGATCAAGAATATAAACTAACAGTAATCAAGAAACTTTCACCAAATATTTTATTTCAAGAAATTAAACTACAATTGATAACCGTTTACGCACAAGTGAATTCGTATCGCAATATAAAAAAGAACAAAATCGGATAAATATTAGATTGTAACAGAAGATGGAGAATAATAATATTACCAATAGATACGAAGTTGCCCAAAGAAAGCACCGAAATCAGAAAAATAATAGCGAAATTCCAAATCCTCATGGATTTCATGTTTCTGCGTAGTAATATTAAGCAAGAAGAAGAAGAAGATTCTGAGAGGTAAAGAATAAAGAGAAGATGAATCGTTGGCAAAAGTAATAATATATATATACGTGCAACTGATGTAACTATTTTCAAGGAATACACAAAGACTAGGAGTACAGGAGTACCACACAATGCAACAAACTCTTCCTACTAGTATTTTGCATATATATCAAAAACCGAGAAACTCGGGTTTTTTTTTTATAGATCTCCTTAATTATTTCAACTTCATGTTCTAATTAATTATGCTTTTTAAAATAAAAAATATACGAGCCTAATTAATTAAAAAATAGACCATCTTTAAAATTTGACCCGTTAAATTAGAGACGGTCCTGAATATAAGGAAGGCAAAGAGTTTGTATTAGTCGATGCTTCTATTTTGGCTGGGACAAACAATCCCACATCGGAAAAGAAACAAATAATAGTTTATAGAAAGCTATATAAATAGAAAGGCAGAAACACTGTTAAAAATTATGCACAAAGCGAACTATTCTTTCGCCTTTTACTAAAGAATACCGTGTGTTTGCTGCACTTCAAGCAGCATACGCCCATTTTTAAATGGAGGGTTCATTTCCTTTTTGAAATAGCCCCAACAATTTAAGTCCAAATGTTGTCATAAAAAATGCTCTGATTAAGTAATTAAATTGTATTACAATTTATGTATATACAGTAATTTTGTGTGTATAAAGGAGAATCTTAATCCTAAACATGTCTATACTTATAGATATAATCATGTTCAGCTCAAACGAGATGTAAGACCAACGAATAGATCTTCGCTAAACAAAGGATGGTTCAAATACGACAATGGAATTACAAAACGCTTCTCATTTTGCCCGACGTAAACAGCTAAATGCCCCTTTGGAACTTCGTTCGATCTCTTTTCGGATGATAAAGACCGTCTAAGCATTTGTCGAAGAGCCATTATAGTATTCAAACTAAATCTTTCTGAAGTGAAATAGAAAATAGAAATCAAGATTTTTTTGTGAAATAAGTGATCTAAGCAAAGGAAGCTAATGCTTTTGAATGACTTGTTATCACCGAGAAATGTATTATATATATATATATATATATATATATATATATATATATATGTATTGTCTTCCATAAATTTTATGTGATGTCTGTTAAACTTTGATCGAGGGACATAAGCACATGACGAAGATGAGAAATAGGCCTCAAAAGACCCCCCACCGTAATCAAATGGATAACAAATTTTCGATGCCTCAGTCTCACCTAAAACATTAAAAATGTTGTAAAATGGTCTATTTATCTAGCTCTTTGGTTTGTGTTTGTGGAAATTCATAAGAATGTAAATAACAAGACAATAAGAGAAAGAGAGAATGCAAGGAACAACAATCCGTAGAGAGAAAATTGTGGGATGTTTAGGGGAGGGGAGATTCTCATTTATATATGTGTAATCCACCGGAAGTTACAAATGAGTTATATAGGAGTTACAACCACTACAATGTTATGGGGATAATGGGGTAGTGGGAAGTTGAGAATTTATAGTGGAATATGGAGGTTACAACCTCTCATGTGCTAGGATAGGAAGACCCACTTTTCCATATTATTTACAGCACTCCCCCTTGGGGATTCCTATCAAAACACTACTGTGCTTTTCATGTTGCCTCGTTAAAACCTTCCGAGTAATAAAAACTCAGTGGGAAAAAAAAAACATCGGTTAGGAAAAAGAGTACAACGCACAATCTTTCCAATCAGTATGAGTTGCCTCATTAAAACCTTGGCGAGTAACGAAAACCCTGTAGGAAAAATAAACTTCGCACAAAGGAAAAAGAGTACAACAGGGCACCCGGGTATCTTCTGGATACTGAGTACCTACACGGTGCTCCCTCTCAAGTTAACTCCCCCTGATATGTACAAGAGAGTGAGCTCGGATAATCTACTCAAGTCAATAGCCTTAACATGTTTTCAAAAGTTGACTTTAGGCAAAACTTATTCTTAAAGTTGGAGCAGTTATCTCAAATTTTGATCTGCGGGATCATTATTTGTTTAGGCTATTGTTGTTGCTGATTGAAGAAAACTTCAAAGCTATGTACATGGAGTTGTCACTTTAATGAAGCCCGTCTTCATTTGCTCAATGCATACTGTATTACAGTAAAATACAATCTCATAGGATCTTCTGTGTTAGTCAATTCACAGGAATCTCGAACATGCCTAATCATGGCTTCAGGCCAAGTGCATTCACTCACTATCTTGTGAAACAAACATCATGCATGATTTGATTTAGTGACAACCGATGTACATTTCATAGAACCCCAAGACATAGCTATTTTCCCAATACTTAACCGTGGATTGGGAACGAGCATTTTGTGGATATGACTTCTAGTCAATGCCAATATAAACCACAAGTTTCGCCTCATTCATTCATGCATAGGGCGTGTCGGTAAGGTGAGATAAGTCTATCATATAAATTTACCGAAAAAGCTAAATCATATCGAGTACATGGAGTTAAGCATAATAATGCATATATTGCATTTACATATGGCACTTCTGGTGCTAACACTTCCTCGTCCTGCTCCATGGGACGGAATGAATCATTGGACCTTTTCCACTTTCCAACTCCCATAGGTGTTACTCGATAATTTCTCTTTATCCATAACATCTTCTCGATGTAATTCGATTGATGGACATAAATATAATTGACATAATAATTTTAAGTTGGCAGAGACAACAAATTAGTCTCATTTAGATCTTTGATCTTGAACTCAAATTTTCAACAATTGAGTTTCTCTTACTTGATTTCTTTAGGAGTCCAAATCAAGTTCATGTCCTTAAACATAAATTGTAGTAATGGGAATAATCAAAATCAATTATTGTTCACATATTCTCTTCCGGAGCAATTACTCACTTAGGATATTATCATATTCTTCCGGAATATTTCAAGCCTCAATTTAAGTAAACGTCTCAGCCCAACTAAGTTTATGTTCCGTGGTCTGGAACTAATTGTTTCGGGGAAACATAGTTCTTTAGGGACTTTCATATAAATATTTGTATCTAAATCCCCGTAAGATACTTTGTGACCACGAATTTAATAACATTCACCATGAAAGAGTATACCTCTTTAAAATCAATCTCGAGTTGCTGAGGAAATCCTTGAACTATGAGATGAGTCTTCGAGCTCCCAATCTCATTTGCTCTTAAATCATTGTACAATGAGATGAGTCTTCTGGCTCCCAATCCCACATCGGAAAAGAAACAAATAATTGTTTACAGTCAGCAGTCCCACATCGGAAATTAACCAAATAATAGTTTATACCAAGCTATATAAATACAAAGGCAGGAACAATGTTAAAATCACGCAGCTGCGCAGTAAGCACAGAGCGAACTATTCTTTCGCCTTTTACTAAAGAATACCGTGTGCTTGCTGCACTTCAAGCAGCATACACCTCTTTTTGGAGGGTTTTTTTCCTTCAGGAAATAGCCCAACAATTTAAGTCTAAATTTAATTGGTTTATAATTTATGTGTGGATAAGGAGAAAGAATAAGAATCTTTGTTGTAGAAACACTAATCTTTACAAAACTGTGATATTTGTAAACATATCTATACGTGTATACAATCATGTTTTGCTCAAACGAGATGTAAGATCAACGAATAGATCTTCGCTACAAGGAATGGTTAGGCCTCCCATTGGATGATGGAATCCAAATTCTTCTTCGGCACGAAATAGCAATTCTTGAAACAATGGATGGTTCAAATAAAACAAAGGAATTACGAAGCGCTTCTTCTCATTTTGCCCGACATAAACAGCTAAATGCCCCTTTGGAACTTCGTTCGATCTCTTTTCGGATGATAAAGACCGTCTAAGCATTTGTCGAATAGCCATTATAGTATTCAAACTAAATCTTTCTGAAGTGAAATAGAAAATAGAAATCAAGATTTTTTTGTGAAATAAGTGATCTAAGCAGAGGAAGCTAATGCTTTTGAATGACTTGTTATCACCGAGAAACGTATTGTATATATATATAAAGAGTTTATTGCATTTACTACCCCTGTGAAAATCGTAACTGCGCGATTCCCCCCTATCATAAAAAAATTAGCAAATACCCCCCTGTGCTTATTTTTAGGATGCACACTCGACCCATTTACATTTTAGCCCATTGACCAGCTGTGTAAAGACCAAAATACCCCAGGGGTGTTTCTGCAATTAAAAAATGTAGATTTTTTTTTTTTAATTGTAATAGTTTTATTTGAAAACACAATTTGGTTTCTTATTTATTTTATTTCCGTAAAATTTCTATAGTTTAATTGTTTTGGTTAAAAATATATTGTAAACTAGAGTTTTTTATATTAGTTTTGAAATTTTAGTCATTTCCATTTTATTAAATATGAACAAATAAATTAAAAAAGAGAAAAAAAAAAAGAAAAAAAAATAAAGAAGAGGCATCATCTTCTACGGTTTTACCCCGTCAAACCACCCCCGACTCCACCCAAAAAAAACATCTTCATCTTCTTCCCAACCGCCGCCGCCGCCGCCGCCACCCCTCGCCATCGACTTTAGTACTATTATGGACCGAAACCATCTTCCAGGTCTATAATTAGTACTAGCAGAAGATAAATTGGAGTTAGAAATAATTATAGATTCATATCTTCTACCAGTTGCTCACCCTCCTTCAACCACCCCCGCTGCCGCCCCTCTCTCGACTGCCGGAGCGCTGCTGCTGTTGGTCTTTTCCCTCATCGCGGCCGCAATTCACAACACCATTTTCTTGTTTTAAAAAACCTGATTTTTGGATCTAAATGGCGGAGAGGATAGCAGAGACAAAGCGTCGGTGAATAAGCCTATTCCCGTGATGACAATGGCGCCGGCGATGGTGATGATTTGTAGGAGTAGGCGGCTGATTTGGGGCTGGGGTGAAGATTGAGGGTGCAAATTAGGGTTTTTAAAAGAACTTTATAAATTACAAATTGATCCTTAAGAAATTAGATTATTCAAAATTAAACCCAGCTGAGTTTATGTTTATTTGTGTGAGGCTATTTTTGTCATTTCATAAACCAAACTCTCATAAAAAATCGCAGAAGATGCGCGTGTGGGACACGATATGCTCTGAGGGACCTAAATGGCTTTGACATTTTTTCTTAGGGGGGTATTTGCTAATTTTTTTATGACAGGGGGGAATCGCGCAATTGCGATTTTCACAGGGGTAGTTAATGCAATAAACTCTATATATAAATATATATATAGGTGTCATAGAAATATTGTCTTCCATATTATGTGATAGTCTGTTAAACTTTGATCGAGGGACATAAGCACATGACGAAGATGAGAAATAGGCCTCAAAAGGACCCCCCCCCCCCCCCCCACCGTAATCAAATGGATAACAAATTTTCGATGCCTCGTCTCACCTAAAACATTAAAAAGTTCAATTAATTTCATTTTATATTATGTCATGATACAGATGAACAACTACCGCAAAATCCGTATAAACATATTGAATGAAATGCCAGCGCACCAAACTCTATCTAATTGTCTGCTAATTTGTATGGTGATGATGTTTATAACTAATCAAAACATAACGGTCCACACATATGCGTTAGGCACATACACACAAGAGGTGAAGGGGTTGAAGAAATCGGCAAATCATGTGATTATGTTTCGTGGTAAACATTATTTTCTAAATTAAATATTGCAACTTAAGTTATGCAAATTTAATTGAGAAGGTCTTATATGGGGTTTTCTTGTTGGAGATGGTAGGAATAATGTGATTGTTCATGTGCTTTTGTTTGTTCAAGTTTGCTAGGCACCACATACCCTTTGGCCTATTCATCACCATTCAATCCAACTTGATTCTCATGTGTATATATGTACATATATACAAGTACTACTTCATCTATATATATATATGTACATTTACTTGACATATTTCAAAACTCAATTCTCATAGTCATCTTGCTTTCACACAACTCTCATATACATTCTTCCTTTTTCATCTTCAACTTCACCGATTTACTATAACAAATTGATGGCTATTCACAAAATTCTTAGACGGTCTTTATCGGCCGAAAAGAGATAAATTCAAGTTCCAAAGGGGCATTTCACAGTTTATGTCGGAGAAAGTGAAAAGAAGCGATTTGTCATTCCATTATCGTATTTGAACAATCCTTTGTTTCAAGAATTGCTATGCCAAGCCGAAGAAGAATTCGGGTTCTATCATCCGATGGGTGGCCTTACTATACCGTGCACCGAAGAGTTATTCATTGATGTCACGTCTCACTTGAGAAAACCCTGATACACATATAATAATAGATCTTAGAGCAATACATTTTTTGTTAGTTAGTTTCTCAACATAGTTCGATCTTTTTTACTTCTCGTAGGCACAGAAGATACATACTTTGTACGATGAATTTAATTGTATTTACATTGAAAAGATTTGTACCCTCTTGACCCAATTTTGATGTCATAATATACTTGCAAGTTCTCAACATATATTCTCTCTTTGGTATGATTACTGCAAGTGCTAATGCAGAGTTAATTACAATAAGAAAAAAAAACCAAGAGTATTATCTATCCCACATCGATAAAATAAAGTTTAGATAGTGATCTAAGGAATTAGATAAAGAGAAGAATTGTGACATAGAAAATTACTTACCTGGACGGGGTTGATAGACGATCAAGAAGGTCTATAGCCTATGTTTGTGACCTCCATTGCACTTTGGAGGGGCGCTTGCGTAAGGTCGGCCCAAGTGGTCGAGCCTGCGTCATAATTTGTGTCAAAGGGGGCCTGCGTTCGCGCGGCCCCCGCCCAATTCTAGTTTGATTTTTTGTTTTATTTATAAGTTATGATAATTCTAGTTTGATTTTTTGTTTTATTTATAAGTTATGATAATTTAATAATTTGATTTCCATTTTTAGTAAGAATATATTGTTATACAAATCGTTACAGTTTTGGAGAAAATCGAGTTTTTCCCGAAGAAACATTGTAATTTTGAAAGTCGGAAAGAAAAGAAAAAAAGTTTGTTTTTGGAGAAAATCGAGTTTTTCCGGAAGAAACATTGTAATTTTGAAAGTCGGAAAGAAAAGAAAAAAAGTTTGTTCCAAAATAGAAATTTTTCGAATCGGAAGTCGGAGCCGGTGGAACATCAAACTTCCAATTCTGTTCTTATCCATGTTATAACTAATCATCGATGTAGCAAAAACGAATTATTATCGGAATCCATGGGTAGAGATATTCACTGAAGTATGAACAGATGATATGTATTTGAATTGTTAAGTTCATATACATAATTAGTCTAATCATCAACTCAAACCAAATAATGCTTTGGCATCTTAAAATAGCTCAAAATTTCTCATGTATGCTATATTGTATATATCTACAAAACTGTGATCCTCCTATACATATATCTATATTTACATATACAATCATGTTCTTCTCAAACGAGATGTTAAATCAACAAATAGATCTTCACTGCAAGGAATAGTGAGGCCACCCGTCGGATGGTGGAATCCGAATTCTTCTTTAGCTTGACATAGTAAATTGAAATGAAGGATGGTTTAAATAAGACAATGGAATTACAAAGCGCTTCTTCTCATTGTGCCCAACATAAACAGCAAAATGCCCCTTTGGAACTTCAACCGATCTTCTTTCGTTGGATAAAGATCGTCTTCGCATTTGACGGATGGCCATTTTTTTTTATAAAACGAGTCTTGTGTACGTGGAAAAAAAATTTCGTTTATGTATCGTATTTTGAAGACTTGTTGCTGGTTATATATTAATCAAGAAAATGGTCTTGTATATATAGGGTAGAAAGAGAGGATGAACACTTCATATATATTTCTAGAAAATTGATATGTGGTGGTCTACGAAACTCGAAAGACCTACACAAATGCAGTCACATGCATTTGTCTTTCAAATCGTAGTTATTTCGAGCCAACAAGAATTTGTGTGATTGAAAATATTGTGTCCTGCCAACTATAGCAACATGGCCCTTGAATAATGATGACCTTACACCAAGTATTTCGATATTTGTACTATTCGGGCCCTGTTATGTTACGTCACATTTAATTCGGAGGGTCCCTATGAACTAGGTTTTCTTTGCTGTTGGTGTTAGGAATTAAATAATTTATCGAAAAACCATTCATTATGTTGCTCTAAAATCTTGTGAAGATATTTCGACAAAGGCATGTGATTCATCATGTGCTTTTGTTTCTCCTGAGTTTGCCACAAAAACCAAATATCCTTTGGCCTATTCATCACCATTCAATCTATAGCTAGATTCTCAAGTATACATACGGAATTTACATGTACTTCATCTATATATACACCTAGCTACAACCTAGCTACAACCACCTTTCAATACTCAACTTCTCATATTTCAATATCTTCGATCACAAAACCTCACCAAGATTTACTTGAAAAAAAATCGATGGCTATTCACAAAATGCTTAGACGGTCTTTATCGGCTGAAAAGAGATCAAATGAAGTACCAAAGGGTCATTTTGCTGTTTACGTCGGAGAAAGTGAAAAGAAGCGATTTGTAATTCCGTTAACGTATTTGAACAATCCTTCGTTTCAAGAATTGCTATGCCAAGCCGAAGAAGAATTCGGATTCCACCATTCGATGGGTGGACTCACTATTCCTTGCACCGAAGAGTTATTCATCGACCTCACCGCTTACTTGAGCAGAACATGAGTTACATATATGTATATACACTAGGTCTTAGAGTAATAGAATTTTATTAGCCACTTCACGAACATTTCTTTTCCCCTAAATTCGGCTGTACACAGAGAAGATACGTTTATCGGATACAAATTGTATTCCCGAACAAATTAATGGTTATTTTGTATACACTGAGGAATTTTGATATGTGAATGCCTTGTCTTTTGGTGTTTGTCACTGCCAAAAGAGTATGCTATAAAAGGTTGTGAAATCCATAACTAGTATTGTGAAAAACAATGCTTCTACTGAACATTAATCCATATACCATGCATGCATGCAGAGATTGATGCTGTGAAGTGAGAAATTATGAATGAGAAATAGAATATAACAATGGGAATTCGTTTGAGTGTCATGTAACCCAACTACGTCTGAATTGCAGTAAGTATATAATACAGAGTGCTGATTGAGGAGATAATAAGCTCAGAAAATTATCCCACATCGGAAAATAACCAACCTATACTTAATAGCAAGATATATAAATACAAAGGCAGAAACTCTGTTGAAAATCACGCAGCTGCGCAGTAAGCACAAAGCGAACTATTCTTTCGCCTTTTACTAAAGAATACCGTGTGCTTGCTGCACTTCAAGCAGCATACACCCATTTTTGGAGGGTTTATTTCTTTTTGGAATAGCCCCAATAATTTGAGTATAAGTTTTTTAATTTTTATTTTGTGTAATGTCGATAATTGATATATAAAAATTATTTGGAAATAAAAAGCTAAAGAAATTGATTTAAACACTACTTTTAAGTTCAATTTTAAGTAATTCATGCAGTGAGGAAACACAATTAAGAACAGCTGTTCAGCTCAAAAAAGTTCATGTATACAGGAGAAGAATAAAACTATCATGTACTGTGTGTGTAAAGCAGCTGTTGAGCTCAAAAGAATTCATGTATGCACTATATAAAACTATCATGTATTTGTGTATGAAGGATATGAATCAAGAATAAGAATCTTTCTTATAGAAACACTAATCTTTACAAAACTGTGATATTCCTAAACATATCTATACGTGTATACAATCATGTTCTGCTCAAACGAGATGTAAGATCAACGAATAGATCTTCGCTGCAAGGAATGGTTAAGCCTCCCATTGGATGATGGAATCCAAATTCTTCTTCGGCATGAGATAGCAGTTCTTGAAATGAAGGGTGGTTCAAATACGATAATGGAATAACAAAACGCTTCTTCTCATTTTGCCCGACATAAACAGCTAAATGCCCCTTTGGAACTTCAACCGATCTTCTTTCGCTCGATAAAGATCGTCTCAAAATTTGGCGGATTGCCATCTTTCTGTAAAGTGAATATTGCTTAGCTGAGGTGAAAAACAAAAACCCTTTTAAGAAGTATTTGAAGTGAGTAAAAGCTGAAGTATTTTGAAGAATTGTTGTTGGTTGTAATCAAGAAATGGTGTTGTATATATATAGGTGAACTATAGATTGTATATAATTGAGAAAATCTAGATAAGAGTACAGGTCAAGGTAGCAAATGGATATGTGGTGCTCTACGAAACTCAAAAAAAACATACGCATATGGAATCACATGCATTTGTCTTTCAGAAATCATAATGAATTCAAACGAACAACAATTTGTGTGATCAAAAATG